GAATCTGTTGTTGAATTTTCTTTTCTTCCATGTTCTACACAATAATGATTACTCATATTAAAGTATTTACATTGGGACTGTGTCAGCCGAAAATGGTCAGGGCAGTGGGCAGCCTAGGAGGCTGGAGGGCGCCCCGAAAAATAGTTTAACGTCTGTGACTTTACTGCTAGGACCGGGGTCTCGTCGCAGAGGTCAGCCAACAGGCTCTCAGACGCCCCGAGTTTATAGGAAAAGCTTATTACACCTCAGATTTTAGCTGCTAGGATACAGACATCCTTTCGTAGCGGGCAGTCTGGGAAAGACTGAGAGATGCCCCAACGGATCTGTCACCTGCGAGTGACACAATCCAAAACGCCCAAGCTCTTCCTATACCTGTCCCTTATGACCGGCTGAAGTTCTTTTGTTTGTGTTTGGTTTGGGTACAGCAGCACGGGTTCAAGTCAGAAGCTTGACACGCACTGGCTTATTTATCGGAGAAAGAAAGAGAAAAGAAATAAAAGAAACTTGGTTCAATATATATATATTTATAAGTGAATGAGGGCACCCCACTTATTCCCAAAGTTTATAGCTAAATCACCTTACCAAAGGCAGTTTGCCTGAAGAAACTATAATAAAGTAACTAAACTTATAACAGAGTGACAATTAAAGTGTACACATAAAGAAACACATTGCAGGTACAATTCTCACCCCTGCGTTCCAGACTTGGCGTGGCCAGCGTCTTTCTCTCAATCCCTCGGGAAGAAGTAGGGCGAGGTTGGGCGTCCCACGGACCTCGGGAGACAATCAATACCTGCCAGCAGGTGTAGGTGATTGGAGCTCAAATGGCGTGTGCTACTAAACCCCTCTTTATACCCCTTGGGTCATGTAGGCTTCTTCCTGGTCTCAAGTGGCCAATTAGGAAAAATGGCTTTGAATGCCAAGTTTCCCACGAAGGGTGCAAAGCATAATTCACACCTGGGAAAATGCAGACAATGGGCACCTCTGGTATGTGATGGGCAAAGATTCCTCTCCTGAGACAGTGCAGGCATGTCAATTACTGATACTAACCATCAGGGCGACGGGAGGCCTCCCAGTCGTCAGCTAGCCCATTTACAGTCTGGTTTCTGTTTATGGTAGAGTCAGGGACAGGCAGCACACCTGCATTCCCAGGGCATCAAAGGCTGACTGCCTTTCTCTTGCTCTCGGGAAGATGGGAGGGGGAACATGATGGGGTTCATGTCTGGCTACATTCTGTCCTCTAAAAAGCTTATGTATATACTTGTTAGTTATTGATGCTGCAGCAATTGATGAGGGGTGGGGAGAGCCATTTGGCAGGCCCAATGAAGAACCGCTAAATTGACTGCAAAGCTCTTTCCGGGGATGCCAATATTCTACCATTACTAGAGAAGTAAGATAAGTTGATTGGAGAGTGTCTGCTATTGAGACAGCACTGTGTAGATCCGGGGTGGCTAACCCGCATGCGGCTCTTCAAGGGGCAGCTGTGTGAAAGAGACAAAGCCGGAGTATCTGTGCATCCTTCAAAATGGCCACTGTTAAAGGGCAATGCCTGCTCTGCTCTAAAAGGGCAGTGTCCGACGTGCCTCTCCCTCTCCTTCCCTTCCCCCCCAACAACTTTTACCCCTCAGCTCTTTGGGCTGTATCCACCCTTATTTTGGCTCTTCATCTGTAATGGGTTGGCCATTCCCTGGTGTAGATGCTGCAGAAAATCATCCTACGCTACGTAGCTGGAGTAGCGTAACGCAGGTCAACTTATCCTGATAGCATGGACAAGGCCTCAGAATATATCTACATGGTATTTTAGTCCCTTTTTCAAGCTTACTTATTTTCATTCATATGTTAGAACTTTTGTCTTTAATTGCTTTTTTGCGTGACACAACTCTTTATTTCACCTTTGGACTAATCTTTGTACAAACTATTGGCACAAAATAATGGTCTCCTTAATCACCATAAGAGGGTGATTTGTCATGCTGTGCATATACAGCATGACACTTGAAAACTAGCAGCAAGACCATTTAACTATGAACAGGCTGCATGCACGTATTCAACTGATTCTGGCCTCCCTATAGTTTTTGTCAACTGTACTTTTCTAAGCAAACAAAGATTCTTACAGATTGTTGTTTGAAAGTGATGTTGAACACTGAATGTTTTAGCAGATATGCTCTCTGAACAAAGAAAAACACAATTCTTTGCTATTTGAAAGTGGAAGGTATCTTCCATTACACATGAATGTTTGTTTGGCTTCTTAGCTAACATACTTGGAAAATCAACAAAACCCAAACCAAAGGCACATCTAGACTACGTTTTAATTTCAAAATTAATTTCTTCTTTTGATCGCATTTTCAAAAAAGGATCTTTCGAAAGTAAAAATAATCTGGACACGTTTTTTTCAGGGGGAAACCCTTTTTTGAAAAAAACGTTCTTCCTAAAAAAAGGAGGTTTATGTGGTTTTTCAAAAAAGAGGTTTTTTCGAGGAGAGGAAAAAAAAAGCGTCCGGACTACTTTCAACTTTCAGAAGATCCTCTTTTGAAAATGCGATTGGAAGAAGATATTTAAATTCTTCAGAATTTGCATATCCTCTTTCAAAATTAAAACTTAGTCTAGCTGTGCCCCAACTATCAAAATAGAAATTCTAAGAGTCTGTCTTCATCACTTGAACCAAAACTGGAAGAGGAACTGACTCACTAATGATTCTTAAAAAAATAGGCCTAGCTAAAAATCAGTAACCAGTGCTGTATAAAATTTCAAGGCATCCTCTCTGGCCAAGAGTACGCTTTTTCTTTCAGTGCAGTAGAGCTTTCCATCCTCCTCTGTTCCATGTTTCTAAGAATGAATTTCCCTTTGCCCAAAGTGAGAATTTCCTTGCTTCGTAAGTAGACTCCTCTGTTTCCTGGCCCTTTCCCAAAGGGAATGTCCCTTTTCTGGTAGCAGGGTCCTCAGAGAACAGTTTCTAGCTGCTAATAGACAAAATAGAAAAGCAGCCAAGTAAAGGGTCTGCTTTGCCTGCAGTCCTGCTAACCAGGGAATGACACTTTTTGGTGTGAAATGTAGAAGAGTAGAGAAACACAATCAGTTTCACAATCTCTAGCCTTAAAGAACTGCTGTTTCATTGTACCTAGTATATCATCCCTTTCTCTGGAATAGAAGGCAACAGTGAACCTAATATGTAAACATCAGATTTGCCTCTGCAGGGAAGAGCAGCAGGTCACTGCAGAAGTAACTGCATCATTTTAAAAATGTTATGGATGTTTAATATCACACACAGTTTTCTAAAAATCATAAATCAAATTATCTTCTGGTACACTACATGTACACCGTAATGCCCCACAAATACCATTACCATACTTCTGCCCATTCAGCAATCACAACTAACACTTCCTGCATGATACATTTCAGAGCAAAGTGAGATAGGGGAAAGCCTGTTTCTAAAAATCAGTAGTCAAATGTCATGTAAGATTTCAAGGAAAGACATCCTGACTAATTAATAATGGCTCCACAGAATACCAAAAAGTGTGGCATGGAAGAGTATGACAAGGGAAATGTGGCAAGCCCACATGTTCCTATATTTGGATATGGGGAAAGGCTCACTTCAAACCTACAAAGGGAAGGAAAGTTCTAGAACTTGTGTATTTCGTTGTCTTGCATATTTTATTTGTGTATGCATATGTCAGGTAAAAGAGGTCCATTGCTTTTGGCTCCCTGACCTGAATTGAGCACAGAAGTAGGACCATCCAGTTCTAGCTCCTCTCTGTAACTCTGGGCATGTCATTTAAAATTGAGGAGACAAATAGAAGTTAAGTAGGCATTGGTATTTATCTCTCAGGAATATCTTTGTTAGCATTTATATTGCATTTTACATTTTCAAACTGCTTTGCCAATATTAAATGCATTTTATTTAGTAATATGTTTTGATGGTTCAGAAACTATTGATATGTAGTAGCGATGAAGAACTCTGCACCTTATAATTAATTCCTTTTGTCATCCAGTCTCCCCTATCCTCTCATGTTTTCTTATTTGATCTTTTAAAGCTAAGAATTGATTCATTGCATTGAGAAGGGTTGTTTACACTGTTCTACCAGAAATCATTTGCTTGTCTTAGCTGTGTTGCCTTCAAATATTCATTATACTGTCTTGAGATTTGCCTCAGTGGCTTTAGTGTTTGTCTTTTTTTAGGTGGTGATATAGCTCATGAAACAGAAAATGATAAACCCAAGAAAAGCCAGAAGGATGATGAAGAGCAAATTGCCAGATACAGAGAACTCTTGCAGAGTATCCAAGAAAAAGAGAAGAAATGGGAAGAAAATGATGTGGAAATGGAGATTAAATGGGTTCCAGGTAAATTTATCTGCCACTTCAACTGTGTGGGAGTTTTTTGGTTTGTTTTGTTACTTGGAAAAATGTGCGATATATTTACTCATTATCTTATTAAGGTATAGAATGAAGCACAGGATTTGTAGCAATCGAAACTCCTGAATCGTGTTTTCTTATTTCTTAGTATTAAAAATCCAGATAGATTATAGTGGGGGGAGACATGATTAAGCACAATTCCTCAGCTCTATAGTGTTTTGTCTGTTTGTGCCTCTTTCCAGTTTTTGTACGTGTTTCCTGTTTCTTCTTGTAAATTTTTCTTCAAATAATTTTGATATACCTTAGAATCATAATTTTTTCACATTTGAAAATAAAAAAATATTCTGTCTTATTCCATGTTCTAAAATTCGGGAAGAATAAAAATCTCTTGTTTGCTATAATGCTATTTTTCTCTGAATATCCATTATTTTACTCATATGTATTTTATATAACTTATTAGATCGGTATTGACTTTATAACTTGAAACTGGCTGAAGGATGAAAGAAATACTCCGAAATGCTCAGCTATGTTTCATTTGTTCTGTTTTGGACTGTTTTTTAACCAAAATTTTGTGTGTTTGGGCTTTTTTTAGATTGATTGCTGTAGTTGGGGTTGAGTTTCTGTACCCAGTTCTATATTTGTTTACCTGCTTAAAATTAATTAAGGTATTCAAAATATATTCAGGAATACATATTGGTGGAAGAAAGGCCTACCAATAAGATTTTTGTAATACTATTTCAAAATAAATGCTTTCAGGCATGCAGTGAATTTAAATTAATGGACTATTTATAAATAATTGAGTTTCTATAGACATCTGTTTACTTGTTCATCTGTCTATGGTTTAATCCATTTGGATAGCACTACTTCTTTGAAGTAGGAATTGCTGACATATTTTACTCGAGCAGTGTAGATTGCTTTTAAAATAAATGGTTGTATCTGTCAAACATTTTATTTCTGCCAGTTCTGAATCGGAGACCAAAAAAAAAAAATTAATGGTGTTTATCTGAAGGCAGATTCAGATAGTTTTAGAAGTGAAGGAGGCTTTTTTCCCCAGAGAGATTTGCTATGATAATTTCTACTAGAATCTCCATAAATTACCCAGGTCACTGTCCTGCAGACTTATGGGATACCACATGCCAATTTGAAGACCAAGAATGAATGAAAACAGGAGGCTTCTAAATGTTCAGATTCTGTATACATAAAATACACCTTGTATGTAAAAGTGATAGCTAGATGTTACATTGCAGCATCAGATGACAAATTTGTCATGTACCAGCATAAATAGGATATGGGATTTGCTGCTAAATACTGCCAGCTTTTCTATACGTGATGAAGATCCAATATATGATTTTTGGAGTAGAAAAAATAATTCTAGTCCTGGGAGGGCCTGAGATATAGGGACTTTCAGGTGGTATTATTTTTATACTTAGGTTATTTTAGTTTAAGAGGTTTTTTTTTTTTTTTTTCCCTTTCCTTTGATTCAGACCCCGAAATCTTTGAGTGGATAGGAAAGCTGTCGGTCTGAGAACTTAAACCAAAAATGCTTTCTGGGTCTCTTTATGTGAAGCTTACTGATATGCTGCCCCTATCCTACTGTGTACTCTGTCCAGTCAGGGAGTCCAGTGGAGGGGAACCTGCCCCTTCCTCCCCCTCTCCCCATCAGACCAGTGAGCCCCGGCTCTGGAGAGTCCCGGCTAGGCAGGGCAGCAGTGTGGGACCAGTGAGCCCCATCCTCATGAGGCAGTAGCAGGGCAGCGGCAGAGTTCCATCCCCGTGAAGCCTTGGTGGGGTGGGGTAGAAGTGGGGCTGCGGCAGCTGGGGGGCTCCATCCCCAGAGACTCCCAGCTGGCAGGCAGCGTGCCGAGACCAAGCCCTTGAGCAGCAGGACTGGAGTCTACTGGCATTGGGGCTGGAGCGGAGCCAGCCAGCAGGAGGGTCAGTATCCTGGGAGGCCGGTGGCAGGGGACCTTCTCTGATCTGGAACATATCCTCATCTGGGACAAGTCAGGTCCCGAGGGTGCCAGACCAGGGAGGCCCAACCTATACAATTTAGACATCTCCAACATTAAAGCGGCTTTTCTATAAAACATAATGTTCTAATTTAAAGGTCTGATACTGTCTCTCTCTTTATAAAAAAAAAAAAAAAGCCTTTTTGGAAAAGGCAGCCTCTTCGTTTTCAAATTGTGTGAACAACTTTTAGTAAATCTGGATAGTAAGATATTAAACCTTAAAAGTCACTGGTTCTGAGTAGAATATAACTGTTGGTGGCCTGCATCTCAAACCAATATAATTTTGATGGTGACAAAAATATTCTGTAGTCGGTTGTTTGTGGAAGAAAAAACAAAAGCTTTTTTAGAAAGCCCAGTCACATAATTTAGAAGGTAGGAAGTAGTTCTGGGATAGATGAAACTATCAACATTGCTTGGTAAATTAATTTTATAATCTGAAAACATTTAAACGTTTAAGTTCTGCAGCACTTTGGAGTCTAAGAAAAAATGTACATAGTATCATGAGATTTCCTGGGCACATCCCGCTTCTTTATAATACAGTTCAACTAAATTCAGATTTCTATGTCAATGCAAAAAGAAAAAACACAACAGTGATGCTGCAAACTGACTGCACCGTGACTGTGTATGAACCTCAGTCACAGAGCAGTCAGTCAGTTCTATGATTCTATGATTATAACCTGCTTTTAATCCCCCATAAAAGTAACCTGTCTTTTCTGTCATCATGTTCTTAAAATTTTACTTCCTACTCCAATCTGAACAGTAGAGATACATCAGTCTTAATTAAGACAGAAATCGTGAATTTATGGGAGATAAAGAAATTCAAGGTTTGCTTAAGCAACTAAAAAGGTAGTTCAGGGTTTTCAGGAACCTTAAATGGAGGAGACAAAAAACAATCTAGTGAAACGCTGGCATTTCTGGGACTACAGGAGGATGGGTGTTGAATAGAAGCCTGAAACTCTAATGGAACTTAGTGGGAATGAGCAGTAGCTTAAACGGCGTTTGTAATATGAGAAGCTGCTAAAAAGGCATTGTGTGGCGTTCTTAGATATCTTGTTAGTAACTTGTGGGTCAGATTTTGTTCTCATTTTGCCAGTAAAAAGGTGTTACTGTAGGTCAGGCCTGCACAACTCAACCTGTCATTTAAAGAAACAAGTTGTCATCAGCTGTACTAGACTTCGCTGACTGGTTTCTGTTCTGTTTACACTAATGCAGGCCTATTGAGCATAAATGAAGATAGGACCTGACTCACTAATAGTAAGGCTCAGTCTACACTGGCAACTGAATGACAAAACTTTTGTCATTCAGAGGTGTTAAAAAATCACACATCCCTGAAGTTTTGCTGCCAAAAAGTGTTATACCACATACCTTCTAGTGGCATCACCCTCTTCCATAGTTGTATTAGTATGAAGGATTACAAGCAGAAATATTAAGTATCAAATTAATTTTTATAACTCAGATATTCAGAAGTGAGTTTGAATACACTCTGGAATAACTTCTACTTAATAAATGCAATCTCTATTGTATTACTTTTTAGCCCATAATCTAAATTAATTTTCTGAGAAATGTTTCTCTGAAGTATAAAACAATGAATGCACAAGTAAAGGTCTGCTTTGAAATCCTAATTTGATAACTACAAAAAAGTCCATGAATTTTCCTATATTTGATGTAATTTCAATTATTCTGATATAAATTCTCCCTACATTAACCTGTAAAAATGAACAGCACTACCTATTGCTAATTGAGATGAAGGGCTTAATGGCATGTCTGAATCATTCATGTTATAATTCTAATATCCACAGTGTGTCAGTATGTGCTTATGTGCAGCTGCTTCATCGTGACTTTTAATTCACCAGAACATCAGACATCCAAATGAGCTGAAAATTTTTTGCACAGATAACTATTACATGATTTTCACATGGATTTTATGTTGTCGCCACCTTCAGACTCAGGAGTTTTAGAAACAACAATGGAAACTGCTCGTTGCTGTTGTGAATGTGTTCTATATGAATAAAATAGACAAAGCATTGGATTTTAAGTAGTTAAAGCTACTGATTTTGTTTTTAAAATTGTATTTAACACATCTCTATGCAGACAAATAGAATTCTAAAATCCTAAATTGGTAACCGAGCTGCAGTTCATAGGTTGTAATTTTCCATATGAAATTGCGGTTTAATATTATCTTGTAAATACCATACCTGAGTTACTTCTAGCAATGACAGAAATACAAGTAAATTAATGTGGTGACATTATAAATATGAATTTTGAGTTAACTGTTACTTGGAGCACTAGGGAAAGCCGTCTTGAGAGTAAAAAAGAGTATAGGGATTGAAAAATTGGTGACTGAAACCGAAGGGAGGAGCTCTCTAGTTACTTTAAGGTGAAGAGGCTGAAGCTGTTTGGAAAATATGTAGGACAGAAAGAGTAAGAAGGATCCTTTGCAACACAGTTACAGGGAGCTGAGTCCTGTATTAGGTAAGATTAGCCTTTGTTCTGACCTTCTTGGTCTCATGGTAGTCTTTTGTTACATAATCACATGCTGGCTTTCCTGCCTCATTGAGTGCTTAGGATGAATGGTGCTCAGTGAACAGGTGCATATGCAGTATTTTAATCTTCATTCATCTTCACGAACGCCTCTGTGAGTCAGTGGTATTATCCTGACGTTTGAAGGCAAAATTATGCCCACTGATTTTGGGAGCCCAATCTGAGATGCCTAGGACCTTACTTTCTCAGAGTATTAAGTTTCTACAACTTTTTATGTTCAACACCCAGGTCTTGTAGACTTGAGTTACAGCTGTGAGTGCTCAGCCCTTGTGCAAATCTGACTCCAGGTGTGTCAGATTGGGCACCCAGAAAATGAGGAACACAGTCAGTGGTTAGCTGCAACAATTTTGGTTTAGATGACGTGTCTGTCATGACAGGGACAGAATCCAGTTATCCTAGGGGCGTTCAGCTGCTTTAACCATAAAGCTATATTTTTTT